TATGCATGCGGAGAGGAAGACTTTAAGGTTGGTCCGGCTGGTTCACCGGGTGGCCCGACTCGTCAATAGGTAGGCTCTGTCGAGTTCGATCTAAACTGCTCATTGGAGGACTTATTCTATGGCACAGTGAAGAAAGTGAAGGTAGTCGTCATGGAGGGTACTGTAGGTACTCGTATTACCTTTGCTGGAGTTCGTATAATGGAAGTGGTGACACCAGGATTCACTCGTTTTATCAGAGGTAGTGTTATGCATATATCTGAGCATCCAGGCCAGCATGGTGATCTAGTTGTTACTTTCGATATTCTATTCCCTAACACTCTATCACCACCACAACAAAAAGAGATACTCAGGAAGACACTATAATCATAATCATTCCTACTATACATTTATATGTTCAACAGCGACTTGAGTATAGAACACCGTATCAGCATCATCATCAACATTACCAGATTGTTGTTGTTGTTGGGTTGGGTATTATCAACAACTATTGACCATAATATCGTTATATTCCATTTATTGTATGATATCTAAGAGGGAACGATCCCTGAGTGCACTATTGGTATCATGAGTAGTAGTAGTAGTAGTAGTAGTAGTAGTAGTAGTAGTAGTAGTAGTAGTAGTAGTAGTAGTAGTAATAGTAGTAGTAGTAGTAGTAGTAGTCTGGTATGAGGACGTTGGGTATAATCATAGGGTATGTAGTAAGGAAATGTCGGATCTAGTGACTAAGAGTAATGATGAAGGCAGACAACCACGAAGATAGTAATAAGGATAGTGGTGGCGTCAGTATCGGTGAATAATGGTGACTATCATACCTTTACTATCCATATGTATTATTAACATGTACTATCCTCTTATGGGTAGTACTGTAGTAGTCTCGATTCGAATATTCATGATAGTTTAACTTGTTGATATCCCTTGGATTGTTGGTAGATTGTTGGTATAACTACCATTGTGGAAGTGTTCATGTTGAGTACTACCTTCCCGCTCTATTGTTCATCACGATTTATGCTAGACTACTAGTAGTAGTATATTAGGGAATGCTATTCACACCCTGTATGGTGACCCTCATCTCTAGTAGGATGATAATGATCATCATAGCGTGACCTCTTATGATGGGAGAAGGCTCCTAGTGAGATGATTGATTCATAATGCGATGATAATCTATACCGTGCTTTACAACCTCTACAACAAGATGATGTCTACTTCACATGATGATTGACTCCTCTTCCAGTGATCATCATTCTTTGAGGATAGAAAGGCTCAATTATCGTTATGCTCAATCTCCATTACATGAACGATAATAATAAATCAGGATGTAATACGTCACTGTTGGCCGCATGAAACTGCCTGGGGGGTGTATCGCAATAAATAATACACATCCCTTAGTTAAAGGGGATAGACTATTGTGGCAATACATAGTTCCTCTATTTTAAGTCATGAATTACTCATAAATACTAGAGTCAACTAGTATAAGTAGTTTCGTATTGCGTATTGGGAATACCCCACTCGTCACCCTCCAGGCAGTAGGCTGTACTCCGAGTAAACTCGACCACCCATTGAAGACACTAAATGGGATAAAGTTGTTGTAAGACTTCACTCGCGGGTGATCCCGTAAAACTATAAGTAGCTCTGTCGCTGAGAGGAGTTCTCTGTAAATTAACTTCAATGACCTGGGAATCAACAACAAGCGTGATGATGCTGATTATGAACATCGAATAGTGTAATAAACTAATACTCTTACTGGAATATTCCTCTTCAATGCAGTGTCAGCAAACCCAGCAGCTGGATAGACAACACTAGATGTTCCAAGGACAAGTAAGAGATCACAAGAACTCCTACTACAAGAAGAATGATAAATGCTAGAGTCGTATGTAATAGTACATAGCTTTGTTAGCCGAAGCGAGTGTATCCTTATCAAGTGCCTCACCAAACCAAACTACAGCTGGTCGTAGTAATCTATCATCAAAGTTGATAATAATGATCCCAAAGTAGATAAGCATTCGACTACCTGCCATCTCTATGTGGTAACTCTCCAATAGGAACTGTAATATGATGATGATGATCGGGGGGCTGGTCTATATTAGCAAAGGCGGGAGTGATAGGCACGTTACGATCCTCCCATACCTGATAATAACCCTTTAAGCAGATATATCAAATACTTACATTGACACCATCCTCTATAAAAGTATGAGTGTGGGCAGCATCACTGCTCTTCTTTACTAGCCAAAGTGAACCATGAAGCTCGATAATGTTATGACTACCGGCAGCTTGGTGTAGTCTATCAACGTTTTGCTGATGGATATCATGGTATAACAAGCAACAGCATGAATGAGATGATGTCCCTTCTCACAGTCATTAGGGTGAAGTCCTTCCCATCATTCTCTTTAATCTTCTGTAGTTCAGCACACCACATATGGCATGTATTTGGTGAGGCAGCAGCTACCACCTTACGGCGATATTCATAGAATTCCCACACTAGTGACGGGTTCGCTGCAAATGCCTCTGGAGTTGCTAACCCTGAAGGATTAGCACCTTCTGGGCTTCACTCGACATTACTGACTTACGAGTAGGATCATCATATTCCTGCCAGAGCCCTCCTCCTCCTGGTCCTCGAAAGGTCGGTATCCCACTCTCAGCGCTAACCCCAGCCCCTGTGATTACTACTATATGATGGGCTTCTTGTATTAGGGATCGGACCTCCCTTAAGCCGCGAATACTCATCATCATCTCTACACTCTCGTAATTAGTATACGATAATAACACGACGCAGAAGGAATGTGGAAGCCGTTATCTGATAGCAAAAGGAACA